CAATCAATTTCTAGTTTTATTGTATAACTTATATAAAAATTAATAATTTCTACAATGTATTTTTGATTCAATGCTATAAGTACAACAAATATTTTGAAAAATAAGTATGGATAATAAACTGTATTTATGCCAAAAACAGATCACACTAAATATTTAGTAATAATTACATACATTTTTTTTTCAATTAAATTATTTTATAGACAAGTACCATTTAATTTTAATGATAATAAAATAAAATAAAAAAAAAAAAATTAGAGGAAAAAAATGTTTCAATTATTATTTACATTTTACAATAATTAATTTTGTTAATCTTAATAGCTGTATTAGTTTTCTACCTATGTACAATATATATTATGAATGCATTAAGATAGTATACTCATGACTCAGACAGCATACATTAGCTATACTTTAGTCTACCGAGCAAGCGTATAGATAAATATCAATTAAATAACATTTCTTTCACAAGTAACTCAAAATTCAAATGTTTTTATAGATTTTGACTTTTTTAATTGTAATTTTATTTTATCGTATAGTCGTTTTAAAACATAGAAGATTATTAAGTGATAAGTTAGATTTTTTCCACAGACTTTTATGTATATGCCACTATTTATGTTTAAAAATGCTGTTTCGATAAACAAAAACGATTATTCATTACATACAAATCGTATACATTACACGTGTACAAGCATACTTAATGAAACTAAAATTCATTCATAAAAGTGACGTATAAGATTAATGCATTTATCGTCAAAACGTCCATAGTTGAGTGTAATATTATGTAATTTTGCAAACTTTTAACGTTATACTCTTCAACTATCAGCGGCATTGTGTGTAATGCATATTATAATATTATTATTATCAGGGTTTCATACTAAAATACGTTAAAATATGTTTTTATGCGTACTTATCCACAGTAAGATAATATTTGTTTAATTATATATGTATGCTTATTCACTACACGTAGTTATACAAAATAAAACGCAGAAAAAAGCTCTCAATCTTTATATATATATATATATATAGTAAATACTTTTGTAGATGATTTCTAAATATTTCAGGAGAATAATAACATAAAATACAAATAAAACATAATATCTAGGTATATAATATTTAATAGTTAATATAAAGTATAATGAGCAACGGCTTATTGAAATTAAAAAAAATAATATAGATAAATAAATATAGATATTTTTTAAATACCGCATATTAAAAGGACAAATTTTATTTTCCTTAGAACTGGTTGCTAGTTTGTCATATAATAATGTTATTAAAAAAAAAATCATAAACCAAAAATTAATTTAAAATATTTTGAAATTGTTCTTTTTTTTTTAGTATCAAATTAAACTTTATATTTGAGGATTGATGGATTTATTCAGTCAATGAAGATTTAAATGAATTATTTTTTTTAAATATATCTATATTGCCGACGTATAATAAGAGTAAATGTCCAATACTCAATACTTAAAGCTTTAAGATTTACCTAAATGAAATAAATTCATAAGATATACAATAAAAACTCTAAAATATATTAAATACAATTTTGTTTTTAAATTATCTGTACTTAAATATGATTTTTTTTCATTCTATCTGAATATAAAACATATATATATATATAAAAAAATATGTAAAAACATTCAAAAATTAACCAATAATAAATAATTATAAATGATTTCATGCACTTAAATGAATCGTTAAAGTGTATTTATTTATTAAAAAGGAAATGGCTTTTATTTAATCAATTTTTAATTTATAACCATAATTGATATTAAAATTACTTAAAAAAAATTATGCCTATCCAAATATGGTGTTTAAAATAGGTGTTGCTATTAAAAAAAAATAAATATTTTTATTGCCCATGCGCATACCGAAATGATAAAAATTTTGAAATTTATTAACAAGTGTCTATTTATATACCACTAGCTTGTAAAAAATTTGATTTATACCAATTTAATCCGGTCGAGAAATTCAATGTTCCCTAAATTGGTGAACACACGGTATATATATTATACGTTTGCACAAAATATTTGTTGTAGCCTTTTTTTCGTTTACGAATGAAAAACTCTTTAGAAATAGTCTTCGAAATATCATTGATTTTATTTATTTTCCTGTCAATATCTATTTTAGGGAAAATTTATTAACACATTTTGCATACTAGGTAATGTTTAGTTTATGTTTTTTTGTTAAAAAATAATCTATTATAAAGTACTAAACAATAGGTTGCTTAAAAGTATCTGTATATTAATAAGAATTTGAACACAAATACATGTCTATTATATAGCTTAGAAATAGGCTAAAAATTATATTAGTTTTTTTAAATAGCTAGTAAATAATATATTTCATGGTTTTTTTTTTTTTTTTAATTTAAGTCCACACTTATATAATAGAGTACCTATATAGACAATGTGTAGTGGTGTCATCAAAAACTTTTATAAATATTTAAACAATTTTTACAACCAAATAATAATAAATAGTATTTTATTGTTAATCATGTGGTCCTCTTTATCGTTAACTTGTGCAGACTATTTTCGATTGTTTCTATTGTATAATATTAGTAGAGATATTTTTTATAAATCATATGATTGGTATTATACTCGTAAAGAGCAATACAACTGTCTCAATAAACAATATGTTTCACTAAATAATTTATTACTTTTATATTATATTAAGCTTGTTTTAATTCTTCAGTAAATTCTAACTAATATATTTTGTATAATATTGCTATACATATTATATTATAATATATTGCGTGGCCTATACGTTTCTTGTTGGTGAAGATTAAAAACGAACAATATAATATGTGATCGTAACTAGACTACATCGCGATTTATACTAAATTATTGGACTCGACTTCCACTTACCTACCACGTAAATATATTTTTATTTATTTTTTTTTTAAGTACTAGGTTAATCATCTGCGGACAACTGGCGATGTTTATTTTGTTGCCTGCGGGTTATCAGCTCAAAATCGTGGGCGTGATGTCATAAATACTGTCTGTGTTAAAAAGTCACTCTACATCTTTATTTCGTTCATTCTCTCTCTCTCAACAGCGTCTATTTAGATCTGAAACTGGTATTAATAGCGTTTAATAGATAAAGATTTTTCCATAGTTTTTTCTTAAATATTTTTTAATAGCATTTAGGAATTTTTAATGCACGGATTATGCATATTTTAGGAATTCCATTGCGTAATAATATAAATGTGATATACTGAGGTTCGAGTGCATTTATATTACCCCGCAATGTTGTAAATACCAAATGACTTAATTTATATTACACATTATGCAGCCGGTGAACAAGCTTTTCTTAATGAGATCCATCAATGTGGTACGAAATATAAATTAATAAAAAATAACAATGTGTTTGTATGTACTACTAATACGGTGTACCTATATAATAAAATATACTAAATAGTAAATAGACTTGTTTATCAATAACATAAATGGGTTTTAATTTTTTAACAGAGAATATTATAATAGTTTAATAGTAACTAATTGTTTGCAAAAAAAAAATTATTGAAACAACATTTGTAACGTATTTATTTGCTTTAGAATTATCAATACCTACACACCTATTATTCTTATGAACGCATACATTTTAATGTAATATTGTAAATCAGTTTTAACGTTTCGTGACTCATTCGTATAAGTGTTCAATTAATTTTATAATATTATTGAATATTGAATTTTCTTTTATAGGAAACAATAATAAATGTAACGTGAAAAATTATTGTACTCGTCGGATATTTATGACGTTCAAATTATAATATGTCAACCATTGGAATTATATTTATAGTTTTAATAGAAAATTTTATAAGTATAAACTAATATATAAGTATATAATATATAAGTACTAAATATTTATGTATATAGCGTTTTTATTTATCTAAATATTATACGATTGGTATTATACAGAATATTAAAAATAAATCGCTTCATACTTACTATATGAAGAATTTTTATTAATAAATATTATTTTACAATATATTTAAATACCATAAGCACGCGTATTTAGGTAAATATAAATCAATATTGACCTATATGACTTTACTTGTCTTAAGGTAATTGTTTCAAAACATCGCGTATCAGTTATGATTGAACATAAACATATTATAAGTAGTTGTTATATTTCCAGTATTTGTTTTCCAACACAAATCCATTTAAATGACAAATATTGCGTATATCAATAATAAGAAAAAAAATACTATGTACACAAGATGACAGGTAAATAAAAAGCTATAAAAAGTCATTTACTTAAGTACAACATTGTATTATACCGTTATACTTAATATACCGTTAAATGACGCAAATCATTTTTACATATTTCATTTCAAGGGCGCTTATAGATATGTTATATGAAGTTGAAATTTGTTTCATTTGCAAGTCGTCATCGAAATGTTTTGTTCGAATTCTATCCCGATTCGTAAACTAAAAAATTCGTGAGATAGCAATAATATTATGTCATCTCTGTCTGTAAACGATTAAAACAAATACAACACATAATAATAATATATACTTATTTACAAGATTATTTTAAAACTCGGTGAAATAAATCAAATCAAAATATTTTGTACAAATTGTTCGTTTGTTGATTAGAGTGCGGCGGTGGCTGCAGTGGTGTTTGTTTTTGTTGATTTTTTTCGGAAATCCTAAAAATCTTCTCATACACTGTCAGCATGTAATCAATAAATAATATTGTGTACAACGAATGTGTGAATCGATTGTAATTCATATTTTCAGTTTGTGAGTATGTATGTATGTACGTATAACGTATACTATATGTATGTATAATATATATACGCTGGGACGTTGTATTATTATTATTTTTAACGTACGCGTTTTTTCGCCTCAGTCATCGCGTGTATTATATGTGCATTGTGCGCGTTGATCGTAAAAAAAAAAAAAAATACGTACACATATATATTTATAATATTCGACTCGCGGGCCGAATGATTCTATAGGTGAGATCATAGATCCCGCGCGCGCCAGCCAACGGCGCCGAGGCCCGAGACACCGATCGCTACTCACAATGTGTGTGCTATGTGCAGTGTAATAGGTTCAGCGGTGCTGTGACACAAGCCTCGTCACCGCCGCGCGTGCATCAGACACATTAACTTTCGTCACTTAAACGTTGTAAGTACCATTCGTTCTGTTTATTTAATAATTTTGTTTGCAGTTTTCGATCTTTTTTTTAAAGAAAAAAAAAACAAAAAAAAATTTCTTTGAAAATAATAAAACAATATTTTTTTTCAAGTCAAGAATACAACATAGTGCTTTTGGACTTTTCATACGCAAGACACAATAATACATAAGGTAAATAATTATTTTTGTTGTAATTATAAACATACTATGTATATATATTTACTCTAAAAAATTGCATTTTAACATTATTATTATATATAAAATATATTATACCTATGAGCTCGCACAATTATTTGAATAAACGCATTATATAATAAACAGGTAAATAGGTAATACGCACTGGGTTATTTTGCGAAAAATTTACTTTTTATTTTATCAGCCATATAATATAGATTTGATAAAGTGGTCATTGCAATATGCATCATAAAATATAATATAATATAATGTTATTTTTTTTTTAATTCATATGTATTATATCAATTAGTTCTGTTCGAAATTCTTGTATACCCACGTGCATACATATTATTCCAGTCCACAGGTAGTTAATTTTCGTAAACGCAAACGTACATTGAGTTTATCACAACATTTTTTACATTTTTTTCGATAGCACTTAATAAATAACTGTTGTGCTCGGTCAACATCTTAATTACTATTTTATTTAAGTTACGAACGAATTATTGTTTTCACATTCCCACTGTAGTGACGGGTTCGACATGCAAAATATAAAACAATACTATAAAAACATAGGTACAACAATGTGTTACAAGTATTATGAAGTCTTCATACACGGACGTTCGTTTCGTAAATTATTTATATCTCTGTTATAATATTATTAATCGTTATAATAATAAATGACACCGAAAAGTGTAAAGATAGGTCTTTTTAATCGTGCTTAAAATGTTTTCAATTCATTTCAACAATAAATATTTTAGATTTTATTAGATAAACGAGTTAATTTTACTATGTATTATAAAACAATAGAATGTCACTTCGTTCATATATTTTTGCATTGATCTCCACTACAATATTAACGAGTTTTATAATACGATCACTGTTGTATTGAATATTGTTTATCTACATTTATTCACTTACTCATAATTTAAAGTTTTAATAAACGCAATATTTCAATAATTTTATACGATTTAACATTATGGCAAGCATGAAATTAAAAGTTACATTAGACACGCGCAAAAACACGTAGTTCGCAGTTGCATATTTTTATGTCTGTGTAATAATTTAATAATGTCTTAATGAATTTGATACTTTAATTGCATTATTTTTTCTAAATAATATTTGATGCTTAAATTAAAAACATAAATTCGCAAAATTTATCTACAGAGGATTAAGTTTAATTCATAATATTTGATTTGTCGTCACGCCACCAATTAGTCGCGTGACTGTTTATAAATAACGTACCTGTTAATAATGATTTAATTTTTATTTTATCATCGCGTAATAATAATTTATATTATACATAATATATTACAGTCTCACTATAAATATAACATCGAGGAGAATTTAATATTACAATAAACTTGTATTGTAGAATGTTGAGTATCACACAATAATACAGTCTTAGAATATTCTAGACTGCAGTTTAATAAATTTCATTTAATGGAAAAATAATTTTTTTTTTCATAACAGCAGTATCAGCAAAATACCTTTAATGCCTCTCGCCGCTTAACTTACCTGTATGTAGATTATAGCTCAAGACAAATATTGTTATATACTTACGTGGTTTAAGGATAGTTGTTTTGTCCACAGCGGGAAAAATGAATATTTCCTCTTTAAGCACATAATATAATGAAAATAATATGTCTAAAATACTCGAATATATCAACTTTATAGACAGTTTTTTTTTGTAATACAAATATAAACATACAGTTGACCGTTGTGTACACGGACGGTGATTATTTAAATTGATAAATTGAATCCAAAAATTAATAAGAATTTAACAATTACAATAATCGTTTTACCATCAGTAAATATTTTACACGATCGATATTTATTTTTTTCTAAAACGGTACCTTTGCAATAGGTTTTTGCAGATTATAATCAAACTAACCCAACGTTTATCATCAATGTTATTTATAATATTAATATATAATGCACAATAATACTTGGGGTTAGGGTTATTATATTTTGACGTGTATATATTTTTTTAATAGTATCATATTACAAATTTAGTTAGTTCAATGTCTAAAAATCGTTTTGTTTATTAAATATTGATAACAATTATAAAATATTATCTATTTTTGATTTTCCCTATTTTTCCATATCACTATTGCAATTATACAAATAAAGGTAAATAATGCAATAACATACCATGAAAAAATATTTTTGACATTTATTACTGTCTTGTTATGCAATACTTCCAATATTTCTCTTAGCTCCAATCATAAATACATAAGCACATATGTAAGATAGGACTTGGTTAGATATTGCGTCATATTAAATTAGTTAAATCGGTAGTTTCATCTAAACAGAAACAATTTTAAATCTATTAAAATTTTTATAAATGTATTCCAAATAGCATAATTGACAATTATTTACTTACTTTAAAGTAACTTTGGTTTTTTTACTTAACCTGTTTTAAAGTTAGAAGTTTCACTTAAAAATAGTTTAATAATTATCGGTAACCTCAATGTTTATTTTATCATATTTTTATTGCATATTTTATCATGTTTTAACAAAACTAAATGAATATTCTACTATTTTATATTGCATAATATTATAAATCTTAGCCCTAATAATAATGAATAAAATCGTTTGATTCTATAAAACCACAGTCGGACGTGTGTTGCTAACTTTATTGCCAAGTGAATACGAAAAACCAACGCACGGTTATCATAATGATTCGGCAGCGATTCATTTTTTTTCTCAACGAGATTCTAACGTCCATCCGTCAAATAAACATAAAAAAATATCAGAAACCACGACCGACCACGTGGTTATGGATGGGCGTCCACCTACTCGAGGGCATTTTTCCAAAATACTAAGCATACATCAAATATTATAGAAGAATTTTATATTTATTAATTTTTTTATCAATTAAACAGTGGACATTTTTAGATTAGGTTTTAAAATTCATATTCAAATTAATACTAAATTAAAATTCTTTGATGAATTTTAATAAGCTATTATGTAAAATAATAATTAAAAGAATAAAAGACATTTAAATTTTGGTTTTTTAATTTGTAAAATATCGACTATGTATAATATAAATATACGTAATAAATAATAATATACGTATATGCTTCACTGTTGTACATTTTGCTTTTTAATAATCTGTATAATAGGTATTTAATTATCAATTATATTTATTACAGTAATAAAACGATTAACCAATTTATTATTTGATATTATCATAGATGTATACTTAATAAAATTTTTAATGATCTCCTAATTTAATCTCTATCTTATTTCGTGATTTTTATTTATATTGATTAACTGTATCAAAATACTATAATTTTATGTAAAAATAAAATAATATTATGTTATTCTCATTTTAAGTAAAGTACCAAACACTATCGTTATATTACCCAATTTAATAAATTAATAGGCAACTAGATATCATATTTTATAATACAACATTTTCACCGACTTTTTTACAAATTTGAAAACTAAATTTAAAGGTTACTAGATCCTTCAATATTATTGGCACATCAATGTAAACAACCCATAAAAATAAATGAAAAATAAAACCTCGTATAAATGATATTTCAAAAGATTTCGATTTAAATTTAATATTTTATCTTTCAAATTACCATTATTAATTAATAAAATAAATAATAAATATAAAATTAATCTTGATAATTTCAAAGTTCTAAATAATTTTAGCATGAGTAATGTTTTTTCAGTTTAAATAATTCATATTTAAATTTCCTGTTCCCTAAAATTTGAAAAATATATCACAAAAAGATTTTAACATTACCATAATACTGTGATATAACATTTCGGTTGTAACGTTGTCGAATTCGTCGTAATGTTACATCGGGTTATATTTAATTATATTATACAATAAGATATAAAATTAAATTTCAAGTTTTTATATAGAATATCATGATAATAGATATGTTTCATATTTAAACAAACTTTAGTAATCTTAAATAATATTAAATACATCTTTTATTCAAACTCTCATTAATAATACATTATATTATTGTGCATAATAAGATATTAGATGCTAATGTTTTAAACGACAGTATATTATTATATTATTATTATTATTATTATTATTATTAATATATTACACCTACTACGTACGTCAAACAGATAGTGAAAAAATGCGAGTGAAGAAGCTCTTTATCTATGAGTGCTGCGGCTGCAACAAGAGTCGTTGTGATATATTTGGTTTACACAAGTCCTATACACAATATATTGTTATTATCTTGTATACTGCTACAATATCAGTTGTTTCGTCTTTAAAATCTACAAAAAAATACCTACGGTACACAGACGAGACGAAAAGCATTTTATTGTGTTCTATTGTAAATTATTTAATTTTAAACGTTTAGGATTCTGCCGCAGCAGTATTATAAACGTCTTAAAAAAAAATGTTTTTGCCAAAATTTGATGGTTGTTTAGCATTAACGAGAAACTTGCGTTTGCCAAACCGACTGTGACTGTGAATAAGCCACGTTTAAATTTGAATACACCAAGAGTATTAAGAAAATAATAATAAATAAATTAATAAAATAACACCAACTAAACGACCCTTTTTGTACGCACCCACACCTGTAGCAGCAGCATATTAAAACCGGTTAATGAGATTCGCCCGGCGTTATGCACAAAAGTCGAAAGACACAATGTGAACGTAATTATTCAAAAATACATATTCAAGCAGGTAAAATCTATTTTTCTTTATATTTTTTTTTTTTTAGATGAAGAATATTTGCATATAGACATTATTACAATAATAAATAATAACAAAAATGTATATAAATCTGTAGAACATGATAACAGATCTCTCTCCTATTACTAAAAAAAAAAAAATATTTTATTTCTCGTGGTTGTGTTATTATTTCGATTTAAATGAAATAAGCTGTTGCAACATTAGCCTAAACGATACGTTAAACTTATAGCAATACTTTATAAAATATTATATTCAGTGATTTAATATTATAGGAAAATTAATTAAATTTACTGTGAACTTTCTTAAGCAAATACAC